AGCCTATTTTTCGAACGTGAGCCTCTGCCTAACCCACGAACGCGGACCTTGTTAACCCGGGCGACGTCCGAGCCGGTATCACACTTTGATCTGGTTACTACCATAATGATTATCTCCACAGAATGTGGGTGTGTGGTCACTCTTAGCTTCATTTCTCCCCATAGACCTTACTGGCATGGGTGTCCCTACCAGGAGCTTGTGCTCCAGCCTGCATTGCCCTATGGATCTGTAAAACTACTGGGCTCTCCCACCACGACCAGGTGGTGACCACGGGAGAGTTATTATTATTATTATTATTATTATTATTATTAATTTTCATCGGGAAAGCATTTCAAAGTGTCGTTTCAATTCTATTCATTTATTGGAGTGCTTGTGGATACGCGATATTTTTTGTTTCTCCGTCTGGTGCGTACACGAATAAGTCGGAAGGTTTTCCGACCCGTGAGCTGGCCACATACAGTTGTCCATGCGAGAAGCACGGATTCTCCACATTTAATATATAATTGAGTGTAGTAAATAAAATAATTGTTTACTATGAAATTTATAATAATTCTTAAACAGTTTGATATATAAGAAAATAACAACTTAAATTTCAATAACAAAAGTACAGTAGAGCATCGATTATCTGACCCTGATTAACCGTCACATCGGTTAACCGACAGTTCTAGTCGGCAAATTTCAAATGTCCGCTAGTGATGTGGTGCTACAATATTTGGCTATGTCTTGGCTACTTTAGTATTATTTTTGTTAAATTTTTGCGTGTTTTAGCTGTCAACACTGGCTCGACCATGAAAGGGGGGCCAGTATTTAAACGAGACTTAATTTTCTAATTACAAGTGGTTGTTTGTTTTGTGAGCAATAAAATAATTTGAAAATAATTTTTAACGATACAATAGTGACGATTATTATTTAAAAATAAATTTTGTTATGCTTAACATTGATGAAAATTCAACGCGAAGTAGATTAATAGCGATATTCTAATACACTAATTACATGGGATATACTAATATACTATACTAATAATATATCTTTTTCATTCTTTTTGGTTATCCGATTTTTTCAGGTATCTGACCAACCCGAGTCTCCAATTGATTCGGATAATCGATGCTCTACTGTATAACAATAATTTTATAAGTAAAATAAAATAGGTTGAATTAACTCTAGAATATTCTAACAATTAGCTTAATTAAAATTCAAAGCAATTAAGTTGTTGGTTTGATCTGTTGACAAAGAATGATCCTATCATCGATCTCAAATTTTTCCATGATTAAAGCATGGAGTCATAAAGTTCCCCAAATCTAGCTCCAAATCTTATTTATGTTTTAAAAATTTTTACTTCATAGGTAATTTATATCTATTGTAAGAAAATATTATGTAAGTACATAGGTACTATCTGTGTTATGTGAAATATTCCATTTATGGAAAGCAAAATTTCAGTCACAACCTGCTTAAATGGGATGCATTTAAGCAGGTTGTGACCGAAATTTATGTCTCATGCATTCCCAATTTGTTTTGGCTGACATGGACTCCTTGCAGTTCGGAGTCGACCCCTAGGGGTCGATATAGACCACTTTGGGAATCATTGATTTAGAGCAGGGGTTCTCAACCATTTTTTACCCATGGACCCCCTTACCTCTTAATTTTTTTTGTGGACTTTTCCATACATTGCACAGGAAAAAAACCTTATATTTTTTTCATTACATTGTTCCAAATTGGAAAAATATTTTAACACTGAAGCTCTAAATTTCGGAAAAAGTAACTACTATATTTATGAACTTGCACTTTTAATATCTCTTATCTTGTCGAGATGGAGTTTTGCACAGAACTGAAGGTTGGGGTTAAAATAAACTGATTACCTTTATACTGGAGGGAGGCTATAAAGTTTATACCCTCCCTAATCTTTAAGATCTGGAACAAACTGACGCAAAACATTCAGAAATGTCACTTTTTTTTTTTTTTTTAACTCTCTGCCTGTGGGCACTAAGAGGGTGTCTTTTCAGCAGCCCTATTATGGATTCAGCCAGGCTCACAATGGGGCAGCCGGGTGGTGAGGGATAGGGCCCAACATATCCGGATCAACCACCCCCGAAAAATTCCTGGGGATTTTTCGACCCATTCAGATTTGATCCCTGGTCCCCCCCCCCAGAGTGGTAGGCTGCCACTTTAACCGCTCGGCCACATGGCCACCTCAGAAATGTCACTATTAANCTACTAAAACGCATATAAAAAGAAAAAATCGCATCTAAAACAGTACAGTAGAAGCCGTTTTTCCGGTTAAGCCTTAATCCTCTCCCTCTCCCCCCCCGCGGGGGAATTTCGAAAAATCCCTTCTTAGTGTGCGTTTCCATGACGTACTCTGTGTACCAAATTTCACCTCTCTAGGTTAAGCGGTTTGCTCTGGACGATGATGAATCAGTCAGTCAGTCAGTCAGTGAGTCAGTCAGGACAAGCAATTTTATATATTTAGATAAATGCTCGATTCTTTATATCTCTTTATTTAAATATTGTAGTTTTTTAACTAAAGCACTATTTTCGGCTGTAACTGGAATTAAAGGATAGATTATGACGTCCGTGTTTCGCTCTAGCGGAAAGCGTTTCTAAACTATGATGCAGCGACGTGTAGCGAAAGCTGCTCGTGACGTCATTTACGCTGCACTCTCGCTGCATAAAGAAACGCAGCCTATATAAAGCTGGAGTTGTGACTGAAAGGATTATAGACTCAAATTTAAGAAAAGGAGAGAAAGGTCAAAAGATAAAAAGTAGTGAGAAAGGTTAAATAGACCTTCTGTTATGCAAATATAGACCATTAATTTTCCAACCTTTCCTCACTACTTTATCTTTTGGCCTTTCTCCTCTTTGGGTCTATAATCCTTTGAGTTCCAACTCCAGCATTATTTAGTATTCCTTCCAGCGTTGCAAGATTTGGCTACTTTGCGCCAAATTTGGCTACCAATTTTTTAGTTTGGCGTAAAAATTATCATTTGGCGCATTGACTACTTTTTGGGCTACATATTATTTATAAATATATAGTCGAATAAAAATGCATTTTAGATTGGTGTTTCGTCGTTTTTTATTAATTAAAGACNTCATAATTATTACCAATTATATTATTAGAATAGGTTAGGTTAGGTTAGAACGTGCGTCCCCACTGTTTCCTTTAGTTTGCTGGAATCAGCGGTGAGCCGCCGTTCGCTCGCTCGCGTCGTCACGTGACACGTCGTCTCCAAAGCGGTCTGTTTCGAGGCTAAAACAGGAAGAGCCGCCATGACAGTCTACGACCCTGAACATTCACCATATATCCTAAATTTAGTATTTTAAATCCGAGAGTAAAAATAAATATATGTAACCTCCATATACCTCTATAAGGGCCTCAGTGATTATTTTTTTTCCATTATTATTGTTTTATTAATGTTTTAATCAAAGAAAAGTGCTACTTTAACCTTTTAAGCCGAAGATTTCCAACGCACGTGACTCCTCAACCGTTCTAATAATTTAAGTGCCAGTCCACCCATCAGACAAGAAATTCTAACCCGCTCGCCTCCCCAAAATAACAACAATCTACTTACTTATAGTCCAGAATCAGCGTGAATGTGTTATATCGTCGACAAAACAACCTCGTGTACACCAGAATAAAAACGACGAAACCAAGAACTCCGAGACAAAGCACAATCTCGACCAGTGTTGCCAGATGGTTTTTGCCCTTGTAGCCAAATAATTTTTAAAAAGTAGCCCAAAAGTAGCCAACTGCTCCTGCAGTTCGCTACTTTTGGGTACTTTTGTACGAGGTGTTGTTCTACCTAGTACTTTTGTACTAATCTAGTACCTTTTTACTTGTCCCAGTAACAAGATACCCAACACCATTTTCCTAGTACCATTCATGAAATCCTAATACCTTTCCTTTCAAAACATTCATTTTTATTCTATACTAGCTTATCCGTCGCGCATTGCTGCGATCTCAGAAGAAAGGAAATTCAAGCAAACTCGTTATGATAAAATTAAATTTTCATTTTATCATTTTTATTGAAACTTATTAATTGATAAATGTCCACACAGCAAACAGGGTAGAAATGCTGGTTAACACTAAACTACAAGTCGAACACTTCCCAAGCGTTTAAGACTGTGTGATATACCTTCGAATGATGCGAGCAGATCCAAGTAAGGTAGCCTTTTGCAACTGACAGATAGTAATTTTGTCAATATTTATGGCTTGTAGGTGCTGACTAAGATCTTTTGGCACAGCCCCCAGTGCGCCGATAATCACTGGGACCACCTGTACTGGTTTATGCCAGAGACGTTGCAGTTCAATTTTTAGGTCCTGATATCGGCTAAGTTTTTCTTGTTGTTTTTCGTCAATTCTACTATCACCCGGTATGGCGACATCTATAATCCACACTTTCTTCTTCTCCACAATCGTGAAGTCTGGCAGAACTTTATCAGTCTGGATCCGGAAGTCCCATAGTATTTTGACACATTCATTTTCAACTACTTTTTCGGGATTATGTTTCCACCAATTTTTCCCTGTAGGTATATGATAATTGTGGCACAAGTTCCAATGGATCATTTTAGCCACAGAATTATGTCTCTGTTTATAGTCTGTCTGTGCAATTTTTTTGCAGCAGCTGAGAATATGATCAATAGTTTCATCAGCTTCTTTACATAATCTGCATGTTGGATCATCAGCAGATTTTTCAATTCTTGCCTTAATTGCATTTGTTCTGATTGCTTGTTCCTGGGCTGCAAAAATCAGGCCTTCTGTCTCCTTCTTCAATGCTCCATTGGTAAGCCATAACCAGGTTCTTTCTTTATCCACCTTTCCTTCAATTTTGTCCAGGAACTGTCCATGTAACGCCTTATTACGCCAGCTATCAGCTCTAGCTTGTAATGTAGTTTTCTTATACTGATTCTTTGTCTGCTGTGCTTTAAGGAGTTTTCTATCATTGACAGCAATCAATGCAGGCTCACTACTGTCCTTGACGTATTCTGCCAGTGCATATTTTTCTTCTTCAACAGTTTGTTTTACTTGTAATAGGCCTCTACCACCCAACCTTCTAGGCAGATACAACCGGTCTACATCGCTGCGCGGATGTAGCGAACAATAAATGGTCATGAGTTTTCTTGTTTTTCTATCGAGATTGTCCAATTCTGCTTGTGTCCAGTTTATAATACCCGCAGTGTATCTAATGACAGGTATAGCCCAGGTGTTCATGGCCTTGATCGTATTGCCTCCATTGAGCTTGCTTTTGAGAATCTTTCTAATCCTCTGAGT